CAAAAAATCACATTTGTTTTTAACTTGTTCTCTATCCATCTCTTGCAAAATGTGGGTGTATATTGCCTGGCAGTCGCTGTTTTTTTTAACCGACTTCAATGAAACTTATGTTTATATCCCAAAGATCTTGTTTCCTTTTGATACCTGCACATATAAACTTCCTGGATTATTGCCCCTGATTTTACATAAAAACGCTTTTTCTTTAGCTTGTTCTCTGTATTAAACAAAGATAAAATTTACAAATCTGATATGACAAATGCCTGATTTGTAAAACAAATATCAAAGGAGCTAAATCGCTAATATTTGTGACCTAGAAATTGACACAAATGGGTCGCAATGTAAAGTGATTTACCATTCATAGTCCAGTCATTTTATGAAAAAAAGAGGGTCAACCCCCAAAATATTGCAAGAAAAGATATTTTGATGGTTTTTGGTAGCATTGGATGTACTGAATGACATCCTAAGAGTTGACCAAAGTTGGGGTACTTTGAAAGTCCCAAATTTTGAGGGTAAAGTTCAGGTTTTTAAGCCATTTTCCATTAAAAGGTAAAACTTTAGACAGAGACAAATTAGTCAATTTTTGAGAGAAACACATGAAACTGACGCCGTGCAGTAGGTTGTCAGGGTCAAACTTTTATATGGCATGGTTTTCATAGATGTCCAGTGCTCTCTAGAGCCATTTTCGGGTATTCCATTACACCAGAAACTTTCTGCCGTGAATCCAAATTTATAAAGGGGCATAACTCTGCACAGTTTTATCATAAAATAGCAGTTTTGGTCTCGAAATGAAGGTTTTTGGGGCCATATATTTCATTTGCAGATATGCCCAGTGGTGTTAAGTAGTTCCTTATACCATTTGCAGGGAATCCCCTACCCTAAAACGTGTTGACACGAACCTAAATTTAGGTATATACCTAACTCTGCTCTACGTCATCACTTACCTTCATAGTTAGTATGTACATGTTTGGAGTCCCTACCCCCCAAAAACCTGATGTCTGGGAAGATGAGTGAAGCAAGAGACGAAAAATAATGTGCAAGACATTATTTACCAATTTATTCTTAATAGAATGAAGCGTGATGCCATCTATATAATTACTGAGACAAATGAGGGTTCTTTTCATTAACTGAGCAACTTTTGCTAGAACACTGAGCATCCCGGTAGAACATAGATCGTAGTTACATCCATATATACCTTGTGTTGTGTTTTGTTATGAATAGTTAACCGTGCTTCTAGATGTCATTTAAAGATTTGATAGATCGTATTGCCTATATAGTTGCCGGAAAGCAGTTTTATTCAAGTTGACATGAAGTTCATGTCATCTTATGATTGTTATTGATTTTGTATTTAATTTTTTATGAACCTTAGGGGGCAGTGACTGAAGGGGAGAAAATTTGGAAAATTTGAGTCAATATCCTGGCTTTTGAGATCATTGCTGGGAGCAAATTCTTGTAAATTAAAGAATCAGAAATGGCAGTCAATGGGACAGAATCTCTGGATCTGCCTGTCATATCCACCTGTTTTGTGAGTGTTGACACACACTAGTGGTACTAACTGGGCGGTTCACTATAACCGTGAATATGATAGTGATAAGATAATAGAAGACTACAGAGGATGCCATAACAGAATTGAGGGCACTAGGGAGTTGGCCCGAAAATTTTAGTCAATTCCCTGGCATTTGAGTTCAATGATTGGAGCAAATGCTTGTGAACAAGAGGATAAGAAATGGGACACCTGTTTAGTGAGAGTTGACAGAACATTTGTACAGTCTGTAGCCCCACAACCCACTCACAAGTGGTACTACTAACTAGGGATACACTATAACCGTAAATATGATAGCACAAGACCATAGAGGAGTGGAAGAATATCAGATAGTGATATAGATAGTATAAGACTATAGATGAGTGGAGGAATGATTACATTATGAAATCGAGTGTTGCAGGCATTAACAAAAATTCAGATAGCGCCAGATAATTTCTTTGTACTGGGCCCTACAGGCAACCTTGTCTCACGGGGGCGCTTATTTGTTCTCATGGGGCGCCCACTCCACCCCTTAAATCTGCGCCTGGGTAACACCAAAGTTCAATACAGTATGCTGAATTGTGCTGCACAGGCTATTTGAAATAAGTATGTGGCTTTTTCATTTCTATTTTACTGTATGGGAACCCCACTGTGTAGTAATTCTTGGAAGTTTACATGACAAATCGCAATATTTATAGCTTGATGGCACATAGTAAAGTCAGCAGTTTAAAATATGAGATAGTATTGTAACAATACTATTGTCCTATATAATGTTCATGGGTTATTTTTTATGCAACATATTATAGTAATTGGTTAAATTTTTAGCAATTATATGAATCTTAAATTCACCAACACTTTTTTGGTGATTTGAGGTACCAAACTAAAAATAAGTCTCCTCTTGCATGGTGATATCAATACCATTGTTGATACATTGTGAAATTAACACTGTGTGACTTTCAGGGAATTTAGCTCGCCGACGTGTGTTCTCTAAGTATCGGAAATGAATACAGATTCTTGGAATGGATCTTCAGCACTTTATTTCAAGAGCAAATAACAACAACAATTAAACAACTTATAATTTCCTATAAATCGGACCTCTAACTAGTACATGTATATAGGTTCCCTAAGCTAGTTTCTCTAACCAATGAATCATCTTAAATACATTTGTCTTTTTACATAAAAAAAATACTATTGAAGAAATAAGTCTTAAGGCATTTAAAACATTAGTTAGAAAAAACTTAACAGATCAACCACTTTAGTTGCCAGCCTATAATAATTTAAATTGACTGGCAGAATAATTGCTGTCTGCCTCTAATGACTAACCAAGCATTAATATTAATATATAGATCCAAAATTAAAAACAGAATTAAAAATAATAAAATAAAAATAAAATAAAATATGACCTAGACCTTGTTCATAAAATATTGACCCCCAAAACCTTAATTCGGATACCAAAGGTGCTATATTATAATGAAACAGTGCAGGGTAAAGCCCAGGGATCTTAATTGGCTGTTTTTTGTCGGCTTTAGTCATACCTTAGTGAGAACTTGAAAATGTGGTTCATAATCTGAGTAGCCCAATTAGCACATTTAACGGTAATTTTGCTGATTATTCATAACAGGTTCAGTAAGCTGCTTTAGTAAAAATAACCAACATGGCGAAAGAAGACGATCTCGGCATGATTTGCTAATTGTAAATTTGGGTTATCAAGTGTTTTGAGAAGGATTTGAAGCAAAATTTTGATAGATTAATTAGTTCAAATATGTTTTTAGTCCAAATACATCACCAAATCACCCAGTTTGTATGTGGGAACGTATCTTTAAAATAAGATCCTGCTACAGATATACTGGAGCATATTACACAATGCACATTTTTTTTCTGATGGCAGTAATTGGTACTGATTGACAAAGGGGCCCTGGAAGAATTATTTGTGTGGTAAGAAGTGCGACATTAGACGGTCTATTGGGGATAATTGCGTATCACCGCACAGTTATTTACCAGATTCTGCTCTCATTGTTAACATTTATAATATCTGTGATCAGTTTTATTAACTACTGATAGCAATTCTGACGGTTAATGGCATTGAATTCTGTGTCACTCTCTGTGTTTAATAAGACTAGATTACTCCACGGGACTCAATTGTTTAGAGAGCAAAATGTGTTTGAATATCCAGATGAGACTAACCAGGTCATTTTAGAACCTAGTTCATTTTATTTTAGGCAGATGACACTATTGCACTTAATATAGAAACCCGGGATCGGAATCAAGTTCATGACTTGGATAGATAACAGGGTGTATGATCTGCAGGCAGATTCCCCAATATTCAAAGTCAAAAGTGTCTGACTCTCTCCTGGACCAAATGTGTCATAAAGAGACTGGGCGAGGTCAGTGCAACTTATAATAAAGTAATGTCTTTTGAATTCATGGACATCAGATAAGCCAGATGACCTCAAATTGCTCTTGAACCAGTGGTTTTGACTGCCAAAATCGAAGGTTAAACCATCGCTTTATTCAGTAGTTAGTTGTTGTGCGTGAGGCAGGGTATTCTTACTCTTTCTAAACCAAATGAAATGAAATGGGGTTTAACTTCCTACTGTTCGGGCTAACTTCCCACTATTCGGGCTAATAGAGATATAACATTTGTTTTATGACTGAGGGACATTTTGTCCAGACAGCAGCATTTCTGCTTACTCTTCATTCTATTCCAACTGTTATGGTTTTTGTACATGCACACTAATGTGTACACGGATAAACTTCAATTATTTGTGCCATCTAAACAACTACACCCCTTTTTACTGCTCATGTCTTCTATCCTTCGGTGGGAATTCCTGAAGAACTTACTCGGCCAACATAGGGACCCAAGAAGCTACACATTCTGCACACAGAGTTCCATTTACTTCGTACTTCGAGGATAGATCTCTGCCCTAAATGACTGCAATATCCTGTTTTGTTATGTGGTTCTACTGTGTTTCACATAAGACTTACACACAAAGACTGAAAATTTTTTTTCAATTTTATTAACTGGAAGCAGTATAAGTACTTTACAAAATTCTCGAAGTATACATAGTGTTTTCAACTAAAATTAAAATGTCGGCCAACTAGCTTAGTGTCTGTTCTCAAGGGAGTAAACTGTAGATAGATAGCCTAAGTTTAGTATGCCAGAACACATATCGTTTGAAGCATAGAGCCCCTCAATAATTGATATCAGAAGAAGTGAGACTTAAGGTTGGTATTGAAATGAGGTCCAGACTCCAGAGCTATCTAATGAAATATAGCTTGCCCCTATTAAGATACATTCCAACCAGTATTTTTAGAAAACAAAATTTGAAACGAGGCTAGTATCCCTTTAAATCATTCAGCAGTCCTGCGTTTTCAGCAAATTTCTCAAAACCAAGAATATCTATTGCTAAAGGGATGCAACTCTGTTAATCATGCAGGATAAAAAATAACTTAGATGAACTAGTTACGTTAACATTGGATATATTGAAGCAATAAACTAAGGATGTTTCATTGCATTGATGTCACACACTTGAACTGGGAAATACATGTTTATACTACATACTGAGGTTCTATGCTTGATACCAGTTCATAAACACAGATCAGATAATTTATACCTATTCAATTAATATCGCGCTTATGTGGATATTACATTAGTAAGCATATACCAAACTGAACTATTTGCCTTGCCTGATACCTAACCAAATCTGTTAGCACCTTGATTGGAAAAAGTATGTTAATTTTTTATTTAATTATTTTTTTTTAGTTTAAAAATAACTAATTTTTTAACATTTATCTGAAAATTATGATAGACATTTTTTATATCCACCACGAGTGCTCTGCATGAACAGAAGTCAATGCCAGGTCAATTACTTCATTTTTAAAAATAACTACTAAATATTAACAATTTGTTTTAGTATTTAGGAATTGATCTCTGATTGTATAAAGGTGTACATGTCTTAGAATATATAGGCTTATAATATAAGCATGTTCTAGTTTTAAGTGGTGGCATATATATATATATATTAACTATATGGCTATGACATCTGTAAAGCGGGCATGTCATCTTGACATTTATGAATGTTATATTCAAACCACAACAAGCCAGACGAGGCTTTTAAAAAAAAATACATCACTGTTATATATACATGTACATGTAATATTAAAACTAAAAATAATGCATTATGTTGATACATACACATCCTACGCATTTTTCCTTTTCAAGTAGAAGAAATTTAAAATTTATGATATATATTATTTGCTTTTGAAATAAAATGAATAAACCTGTATTACTTATATACAACAGCATTCACCAGAATTGTTCATTAATATGTAGATTTCTATGTGTTATAGACAATGTCTAGATATATATGTACAGGAGAGTTTTTAATATTACAGAACCAATCTTTTTTTTTCTAATCGCCTAACTGATATGTATTTGACATATATACAGGTACATCTATATAGGTCTATATGCTGTACGGCCATGTATGTATGTACATGTATTTAAAGAAAATGTGACATTTTTTAGGTTTTATTTTTAGAAAATAGTTTAAACCTAAGTCGAGTGATAATTCAAAGCTCAGTGCAGTGTAGTTTTTGAAGGTATTCCGGAAAATCATGTGGTTATATGGTTGATTACTTATAGAGGTTAAGTATATGGATGTATTGTGTTGAATATGGATTTGTATGTATTAATATGACCCCATATTTTTAACTAGTCAATGCTATATTATGTAATTGTGTCTGCATGTCTGGGTAATGTATATTAAGCTGAATATATATGTTAGGCCTAATGTATATTTTTGTAGGTTAATTTCAGCTGGTTTAATGTTTTTCAAAAAGTATTGTTATGTTTTATCTAGTTTGTTCGTCACTTATTTATTTTTATCCTTCGATTGTGTTTTTATGTGCTACTTGAACAAGACACTTTGGTCAAATAATTGCAATGATTTGATGTGGACACAGTATTAATGTCACCTCCATCTGTTGTCAGTCCACAATTTTTTCTGACTTGGAGACACTGTTATAAAGTACTGTATCATGAGGATGAAACACATCAAAATTCAGAAGTTATTTGCCAATTTATGTTTGAACAGACATTTTTAAAACATGGTAATTTTGTTGTTCAGTCGAAAGGGAACACCTAATATATTTTGATCACATTCAGTAATTAATGAGTCAGTGTATGTGGAAGCCATGCCACACAGGAAAAAGTTCATAAGAAAGATCAGTCTAATTGTAACACTGAATTGTTTCATGCTGACTCTATTAGTAAGTGCAGGAGCACCGCACTTGTTCGTAATTTTTATAACGGGTCTGTTCGTCTGTCTGTCCATAACACCTTTTGAAATATAATATCTCTGCTTCTAATCGAAGTAGAATGTTCATTAGGTGAATGTCTTGGCTGAGTTCCATGATGAGCATTTTATGCTTAGGCAAAGTTGAGATAACCAATTTTGATTTGTCAATGCTTAAAGACACAGCAAAGAAACTTTGATTCTAATTGAATGAAGCTTTGTTTCTAGTGCAAATCGGCTCAGGTTAAAGATACATTAGTTAAGAGTTTTATAAAGAGTTGGCCATTCTTGCTATAATATTAATAATTCAAAAATAGATGATAAAAAAAAGAAATGTTGAAAATTTCCGTCAAATTACATTGTTCTGAACGGAATTGTTACTGTTGGAAGTTTGGACTAGAAATAGGCATCAATTGTGTCTGCACCGTCTACGAGAATTGGCGATCGTTTGATTAACAGACGATAACTCCAACCACATATTCTCGATTATCAAGTAACATGCTCAATGGCTATGGTAGCCTCGCATGGCAGGCAGGCCTTTCATCACCAGTTTCCGGTAGTGACATCAGTGACTAATGGTAAACGTTAGCTTGGTCCGCCATTTATTGATTTAATTTCAAATGGACAACTGTTTAAATCCAAACTGTATCCAAGCCATCCGTGGATCTACAGAGTTGGTTTTGAGCTTTTTGTGTAAATAAAGGCCTAATTAATTATTTCTATAACATCTGAAGCCGAAATAAAGACTTACAATAGGCAGATTTAACTCTTGCATAATGTAAGTTTAAGCGATTTAATTGGTTGAAACTTTGGAACACACTACCTCAGCTTCTAATTGATGTAGAATGTGATGTAGATGTTCATTATTTGAATATCTTGACTGGGTTCAATGACCGACATTTTCTGCTTCGGCTAAGCAAAGATAAGCAATTTGATTAGTCAATGCTTTGGAACATGATAACTCTGATTCTGATATGTTGTCATAAAACTTGGTGAAGAGTGTCACCACATTAATAGCTTGAATAAGTTTGATAATTATTTGCACAGTATTAAACCATTATAATTATTGCTCGATGATTTATATTTTTTGGGGATTGAAGCTGTTGATTTTTTTATTCTCAAGTTGATGAGTCATCTAACTCTTCATGTCGAAACTCATAAAATCTTCTAAATGCGATACAGGACATACAGATTTTTTTTATGGAATATTTAACAACTTTGATGGATAGAAAATTTGGGTACACAAAAGAACCCTATCCAAATTCAAATTTTTCCATAAGCCATTGGGCAGTTATGGTGGTTGTTTCAAGAAATCTGTTATGTATTATGTTCTCATTTTTTTGTGGCCTGAAGGTTATTTTCTACCAGTAACTTCGTCTGCTTGACAACAAGTTTGCACTACTGCTCCATTTAGCTATGGGTAGTGTTGAATTATGTGCAGGGTTTGCTTACTCTTTCTTCAAAACATGATACCATTTTTTATTTAAGTGTTCACATACATAACTTACTTTTACGATTTTAAAAGTCACCAACTTGTGACTCTTCTGGTTGCCTTAGATCCTATGGTTATATTTTTGTCCCCCGCCTTTCGAAGAAAGCAGGGGACTATTAAAATGGGTTCGTCCGTCTGTCTGTCTGTCTGTCTGTCCGTCTGTCTGTCCGTCACACTTTTTGGGAAACAATAACTCTCTTCCTAATTGAGCTAGAATGTTCAAACTTGGTGTATGTGTTTATTAAGTCAATGCCTTGATGGAGTTCGAAGATGGGCATTTTCCGCTTAGGGTAAGCAGAGATAAGCAATTTGATTGGTTGATGCTTTGGGACACGATAACTTTAGTTCTAATTAAGTGAGATTGATGAAACTTGGTGTATAGTTTCATTACAGTAATACCTTGACTAAGTTTGATAATGAGCATTTTCTGCTCAGGGTAAGCAGAGCGATACGCAATTTGATTGGTCGAGACTTTGGAAAACAATAACTCTCCTACTTTGATTGTTAGACTATAAGTAAAGATATACTGTTTGATTGTTCAATACTTTGTAAAAGATAATTTGTGATAAATTTATATGTGTCCTCTAATTATTTTCCTATTTCGGCGGGGGACATCAGCCTCACTGTTAGCTTGTATCTGTTAGCTTTGGCTTCTGAAATCTAGATCCAAACTATTGAAACAATCATAAGAAACCATCCTAAGCATGATAGAAGTGGGTTATATAGCACAGTGAAATTGGTAGAAAGTAATGTTACTTTTAGATGGCCATAACTTAGTTGGTACTGATGGACTGAAATCATTTTAGAACCAGTTATACCATTGTGTATGATATCAGTGTAAATAAATTTTGGTAATTATATCATTGTTTACTATGTATGATATCAGTTTAATTAAAACTTATTTAATTTAATTATAATTTTAATTAGACCGGTATGATATGAAGTATATTTGCCTTTTAGTCTAAAATATTGCAGTTTTAAGATATTTTTTTATTTATTGTAATTGCATGCATGATTTTCTGGCAAACCATTGTTTGGCATTCCATCAGAAACTTACACCAGAAGAGATAATATTTTTTTTCAGTTTATTGTGACTTAATTGATATTACATGATTAATTGGATTGTCTATACATTTGATGAACTTAAGAATATGGATTTATCTAGATAAAGCGCTTGTAATGATACTTATATCGGCGTGATAAATGCCCATAAACTATTTGAAATCAATTGAATTTGAATCAAACTTAGTGCATTCAATCCGGATTCAATGTAATAGAAATGAATTTTCAAGGTTCCGATCCAAACCACACTAAATATTTTGAGTATTCTCTCATAATAAATTTTTTTTTTTTCCTGATGCATTGGAAATCAATATCACGATACAAAAGTTTCTTCCAGATTTCGATATTGGTTGTATCTAAACAATATCTCTTACATGTAGCTCAAAACCTGTGCAACTGAATTCTAAATATTTAAAAAAAAATTAAAATAAAAGAAAATGCTTTTAATCATTTGAATTATATCACAGTTAATATTTTGTTTGATAAAATCCTGGGATTTACTTCTACTTCTTAAAATGATTTAAAAATATCAGGTACAAAATAATATACTATATTCAGTTTAATAAAAAAATATATTTATATACATTGTAATATGATGATGATGGATTGAGCAGGGTTATTCAAGTATTTCCAAAATGTGACGTAAACTGACTACTTTGACAAATTGAATTTAACAATATAGGTGTTACTAAAAACAATAAGTAATTGAGTATATTTTGTCGACATGCTGTTTTTTATGTAATAATTTCCCAGCCCATGCGCTTTGAAGAGCATCCAAGTAGCGGGGGGCTTCCAAGAACAGATTTTAACCAAGCATTTGAAAGTAGTGTTAGTATGAATGACATTTTTCTCTTTCTGAAGCACACAGGTACAATAACTTTTCCAGTGACTGAAAATTATCAACATTCAGTACATACAACGCTTAATGAATTTGGGAGTATTGTGTGGACCAAGAAAAAGACAAGGGTGGGTGTTTATTAAGTAAGTCTGTTTTTACATTGGATATGGTAAATGTTCTAACTGACTTATTCATCAATTTCAGTATCTATATTCTGTGGTGGAAGAAGCTGTAATCTAAATGGGAAGATAAAAAAATTTAAAATCTGCTGGTGACGGAAGTGTACAGTTGCCCAAATGATTCGTGACCATGCTATGTTTATGTACCTGAATTCTCTATCACGTCTACATCAACCTAACCAATTGATAGATGTTTCATCTCCACATATATCAAAATCAATGTAAGGGGTTTGATTGTCTATCTCAATGTGATAAATATGTAAATTATTTTTTTTATATGCCCACGCATAATTTTCAGTGTGCATCTTTTGATACACCATTTTTAACTTGACTTTTAGAGTTTATAAATGCAATGTAGGATATAGAGGGTAGGATGTATAATTAGCTTCATAGAATATTCTTGGAGTTTAACCCAACACTTTCAGCTTTAAAATCCAATTCACATTCATTGTGCACAATATACCTACGAAGCTGCATATTCCCAAAGCAATGGCCCGAGAAATCCCTCTCCAGCCAATGCTGTATTGAACCTGAAAACTTGAGTCTTTGATGGAGCATGTCCATTATCATTGTCAAATCAAATCTCTTCTGAGTAAAATAAAGGGAATTTTCATGACTTAGCAGGGATGACCTCTTTAAAAAAAATCCCAGTGTTTGTTAGTACTGATTTAAAGAAAATTTGTACCCTTGGATGCATTGATACTTACATAGGTAAATTTGGCCGAAACTCTTTGACTCAAATCTCCGCTATAAATTCTATAAACGTGTTTATTTGTACCAATTATTACTGTCTACTTTTAAATATTCGATAATATTTATCCATTTTTGTGAAGAAAATCCATGAATTATTCATTTTATCAGAAAAGCACATGTTGTATTTCTCTCCAGTTTGTTGAAACACAATACGTAACATGACAGTCCTTCTCTTTGTTCTGCTGTGTGGTCCAAGAGATGGTAAAAAGATTCCACGCGCGGCGATTACCTAATGTTTACCTTGTAACTATTTTGGATAGCCTCGTTTATCACACAATTAGTTCCTTTGCAATATTCTGTTATGCACTGGTTAATTAAGTTTAGTACATTTCGCACGTTCTGACGTAATGTTGCCACGTTTGTCACCAAACACTTTACAGTTACATATTTAGAGCTCTGGTTAATCCCGATTGATTTTGTTACGTAGTAGTGATGTACTGGTTGTTGATCGTACTGTTAAACAGTCATAATTTGGGACAGAAATTTGTGCTGAGTATGGCAGTGTTTGAGTGGGATTAGGTCTAATCAAACGAAACACTGCGAGGAGTATGACGAAGCTCATATCACATATAGTTAGTTTATTTTTATGCACCCACATTTAATAGGGACATATACATGTATTGTCACCACCTGTTTCTGTTGTCCATCGTTCCATCTGACTTTTGTTGTGAATACTGTACTCAATTTTTATATGCTCACGTTTTCATGAAAGCATATTATGCCATCGCCCCTATCTATCCAGTTGTCTGTGTGTCCATTCACATTTTGTTTGTTGACTCTTTATAGGTCACAAATTTTGTCTGACTTTTATGAAACTTGAAATATAGGTTTATATCCCAAAGATGTCAGTTCCTGTCGATATTGGTGTGTATCGGACCATAACTTCATGGATTATGACCCCTCTTTCTACGAAAATTCATGTTTTTAGCTTGTGAACCATCTAGATGTCACAATTTTTATTCGATTTTGATGAAACTTAAAATTTATGTTTATAACCCAAAGATCTTGGTTCCTGTCGATATTGGCATATAACGTACCATAACTACCTGGATTTTGGCCCTTGATTGTACGAAAAATCAAGTTTTCAGCTTGTTGACCATCTAAATGTCATGATTTTAAAAATGTTCAAATATATCACTTTTAAACCATAATGGTGGTTGAGTTCGAATTTTGTGAAAAACTGACCGAAACTGACCGATAAAACAAGGTTTATCCAGTTTTCATGAAACTTTAACTATATGTTTATATCCCAAAGATCACGATTCCTTTAGATATTAGCACATATCAAACCGTAACTTCCTGAATTATGGTTTCTGATTTGAACGAAAAATCACATTTTCGGCTTATGGGACCCTCTAGAAGTCACAATTTGATTTTAAAAGCCGTTCATATATGTAACTGATTTTAGCTTGTTCTCTGTCCATCTCTTGCAAAATGTGGTTGTATCTTGCATGGCAAACGCTTGTTTTTCAAACTTGCAGGGATTGTCCATTTGGTCGTAAGGAAGAAACCCATCGAAATTTGAAACTTCTTTGATCACAAATTTCATGGTTATATCACTATTTATGTTTTTGAATTTTGGTATCAGAAGAACAAAGTTCTTGATAGATAGAATTTATCAAAACTCAAAGTTGATCCTAGGTTTACGTTCAAGTTTATGAAACTTGTGACCACAATACAGGGCATTCAGTGAGATTATTCATTGGAACACAAGAAGGAATTTTATCAAAATTCAATGTTTTGCAAATTATTGATTCCAATACATTTTGAATTTTCAAATGAAAACCAGGAAAATTATCTTGGATTTATTGAAACTTGATGAGATTATTCGGCTTGGGACTCTGCTTAAGGACTTTGATTGCAAGATTATTTTCTATATACTCAGTACACAGTACAATTATATAACTTCATCTTTCCAAATATTCTCCATTTATATATTGAAGTCCAGCATTTTGCAGAGTAACCTGTGAACACCATTATAGGATACATTATTCTATGGAATTGTTCTTAAGCCATATCCTTTCGATATTCAAAATACTTTGATGCATAGGTATTGATTCCCTATTTTGGAAAACAGCACAGGACAGAGGTCTTGCTGAATTTTGTTGGAACTAGGTCTGGATCCTTCATTGAAGAATATATGGATGCATACTGATTTCATAATATACCGGTATATGTATCTGCAGATTAAGACTAAAACACTTATTTTGTATAAATGTTGCAGGTGTGGAGTTCATTCAGTTTTGTTGGAAAAGCAAATTAAACATTTTTGAATACTTTTTTCACAGGCACTTGAAGGGATTAAAATAAAAGTTTTTACTACTGCTTGACTACATTTACATTTTACTACAATAACTCGTTGAAAACATTTCATCTGCTATCATATCACAATACTCTCTAGTTCTAACACTTCCTGTTATTTTTATTGCCAACGAGACTTTATTTGATCATTATACAGCTACCAATTTAATTAAATTGGTCATTTTACAGCGTTATTAATTACGAATCAAACCTGAAGCATTTTCACTCAGCGATTATTAACTTTGTCAGACTGAAAGTAAGACGAAATGAGATCAATGACGTTGTGTTGGGGAAGCCCTTATTTTGATTGGTCGAGGCGTGTAACTAAAACTAAAATTGACTTTCATAACAGACCGTGAATTGAGAATCTCAGAATGACAGCTGAATACTCTCATTGGTATGTAACATAGGCCTAGTTAGGAGAATTTAATTGATCTCTCCGGCAGACTTGTAATGTGATAAAAAATTAATATGATAGTTTTGGGGAAAAACATACCTTGCCTTCTAGTCGGCAATATGAAGTGCCCGAAATAAAGTGGCCCGTTTTTATAACTTAAAAGTCTAACTATGCTCCGGAGTTAATACCAGCGGAATTTTTCATTATCGCCTGACAAACATGCGTTGTTGTGTTTTGGTGATACACCTTTTTGTTGTTGTAGTATGTAGTCAAGCAGTAGTAACAAGTTTTATTTTAATTCCTTCAAGTGCCTGTGACTTTTTTATATGCCCACATAGAAATGTGGTCATATATTGACGCCGCCCTAGTCTGTAGATCTGTACGTCCCTCCACATAATTTTTTGTTTACATTAGTGAGATGAAGAATCCTATTTAATATCAATAATTTCCATTAATTTCTTCTGAAGTTATGTTCCTTGTTTGACTTTACTGCACTTGACTTACACCTAGAGTTATGGCCCTTGTTTCAATTTGTTGAACCTTGTGAATGCTCTAACAAAAATTATCATCCGATCTGTATGAAATTTATATGCATAATTGAAATTATTGAATCTAAGAAGCTTATTGAATTTCAGCTATTTCCGTTAATTACTTCTAGAGTTATCTTGTCAACGCTCGAACAACAAAAGTTATCATCCGATCTGTATGAAATTTATATGCACCATTTAAATTAGTGAACTGAAAAAGCTTATTGAATTTTAGCATTTTATTTAAATTACTAAATCGAAAAAGTCTGTCGAATTTCAACAATTTCTGTAAATTACTTCCAGATTTAAGGCTCTGGTTTCAGTTTGTAGAACCTTGAATTGTGAACCCGCAAATGATGAAAATTATTAGCTAATCTGTATGAAATTGTCTTGTAGATGCCACCTATAACCTATACAAGAATAAATATATGCATTGATTTAGCTACTGTGAGCATATGTTTTGTTGCCTGGAAACCTATCTTTAAATCTACTCAGAGGAATTTCATGTGAACACTCTACATGACAGAGTTCTTTACAAAGTTTTCCAAATTGGTAATGATTTACTTTGTCATGAGGAAGAACCCTATCAGAAGTTGGAATGTTTATTTCAGATCTCTTGTGTTTTCTCCCAGTCAGGCCCTCAACAAAGTCTTTATTGTCCCCCGCCTTTTGAAGAAAGCAGGGGACTATTAAAATGGGTTCGTCCGTCTGTCTGTCTGTGTATAGTTTTATTACATCAATACTTTGACTAAGTTCGATATTGAGCATTTTCTGCTCAGGGTAAGCAGAGCGATAAGCAATTTGATTGGCCGAGACTTTGGAACACAATAACCCTCCTTCTAATTTAGCTAGAATGTTCAAACTTGGTGTAGGTGTTTATGAGGCCGATGCCTTGATAGAGTGCGAAGATGAGCATTTTCTGCTTATGGTAAGTAGAGATAAGCAATTTGATTGGTTGATGCTTTGGGACATAATAACATTAGTTCTAATTAAGTGAGAGTGATGAAACTTGGTGTATAGTTTCATTACATCAATACCTTGACTAAATTCGATGGTGAGAATTTTCTGCTTAGGCTAAGGAGCAATAAGCATTTTGATTGGTCAAGACTTTGGAACATACATGTAACAACTCTGCTTCTAATTGAGGTAGAATGTTTAAACTTGATGTAGATGTTCGTCTTGACTGAGTTCAATGATTAACATATCGAGCTAAGCTAAGCAGAGATAAGCAATTTCCTTGGTC